CGTGTGGCGAGGGCACTTGTGCCGGGCCGGGGCTGCTTGCCACCGGGGCAGCGCGGGGGACTGGGATCTTGGGGGAAGCGATTGCCCGCTGTTGTGCTGCAGTGGCAGTCTGCAGTCAGCGTGGAGGCTGAACCTTCTGCCCCGGACCTGCACTGCAGCTTTGGGGAGATCTTTGGAGGTGGCCTGCTTGGAGGTCTGTGACTCCCCAAGGACCTGTGGGTGACTCATGGATGGACTCTTGCTTTGCACGCATCAATATTTCACTTAGTTTCCTAGATCCTGCTGCTACTTCACAGTCCCTGGTGACTGTGCTGATGTAAAGCCACCCTCTTGCCTGAACCTGTCCACAGGCCTGTAGCAGCCACTGGCACGCTGTGGTCATAGTGAGCAGCTAGCTGACTCCTCTCAAATTCAGCTCCTATCCTGTAATAACAGGCTGTTGTAACAGCTGTGCCTGGCTAGTGTGTGTGAAAATATTACCTTTGTGCATTGGTGTTTTAGATGTTCGTGAACTTAATTACAAAACTACAGAGAGGAGTATGGTTATTAAAGCTCCATTTCTGACACATACAGAAAGCTTTGACACAAAAGTTACAGTAAAAGCACACATGGATATTGCTGACTCCTGTGTGTTACTGCTCTGGCTGACTTGACTGTTGCAGAGATACACTAGAGGAAAAAGTGATTTGTAGACAACAGAAATTGCTAGTCAACTGTAGGGACTAGTGTCTGTGCAGAATTCATAGCAAAACGTAAATGCTGACATCTATTACATAGATGCAAGTGAAGAGAGTTCCTGTCTTTTTCTACTTTACCCCACCAACATTATTATATTCGAGTGTTACATTAACAACAGTGGGTTTTGGTTTTTTTTTTTTTTCTTCTAACAAGGCTTTTAACTGCACATGTTGGTCCCTCTGTGTCTTTATTTTTCATCTCTTAATAGCAGAACAGTTTTTCTTCTATAACACGTTCTTGTGATATGTTTGATCCTCTTAGCTGAACACTACTTTATTAGTCCATCCCTGGAAAGAAACTTGTTCCAAGTGGTCATCTACAAGAGCTTGGCTTCTTAGCCCGTGCGCCCCATTTGTTAACTTCTACAGACTGTGCTTTTAGATGTGTTGCTGAGAGCTGATAGTTTCCACAAGGCCTTTTAGCTTGGCTGACTGACTGTGGCGCTGTGTAAGTTAGAATTGCGTTCCCTAGAGTTGGTAAAGCCGTTGCCATCCTGTGTGGTGTCAGTAACTTTGACTAATGTGACTAGAATTGGACTGTGGCCTAGCATTCAGGAAGAGGCAGGGTAAGTTATTCAGGCTGTAACTGTTTTTCTTGAGGGATGTCATTTGTTTGGGTTGCTATACTGAATGGTTGCATTGCACTGAGATACAGCAAATGCATAGGAAAAAGAAGAGAGTGAGAAAGTATTTCTGCCTGTCTTATGTTGGTTTTGTTTGTTTTTAAATGGCAGATGCTTTCTTTACTTGCCGAAAGAATGTGCTTCTGGCGAAGAGCACGTCCACCCAGATAGAAGGCGTCTTTGCTGCGACCAGAGGAAGGTCGGTCCCAGAAGAGCAAGAAGCCCTTCTCCAGCAGTGGCTGGAGGAAGGAGCGGGGAATTTGCCAGCCAGTGAGAGTGCTCCAGCAGCGGGGAAAGTATCAGTTACGTTCAGTAGTGACTGGTTAGAAGGTTCAGAGCTATTGATGACTAGCCTCAGTGACCTGAATTCGTCTCCAGAAGTCACCCAGTGTGCTGGTCAGCAGTTCACAGAGCTACACACCTTGGCTTCTTCAGAATTGCAAGATCATGCACTGACAAAATTACCAGCAGAGGAACCAGTGGTTGTAGCAGGCAGTGCCCCTTGGGCAGCTGCGGTGCCACAGACGGATCACCAGATAGCCGGCTGTGCCACTATCGACGTAGAAGTGCAGAATGAAGACCCAGCTGTGCTGGCCTGGAGTTTAGCGCGTGATGCAGAGACAGTGCCAACGGAACCCCCAACCTGGCCCATTCAGGCTACAGTACAATTTTGTCCTTTCCCGACAGAGGTACCCTACCATGGTCAGTAGTAACAGCTCTGAATCTAATGTTCAGTTTGGGATTTGCATGCGTAGTGAATGTGGTCAGGTTATTGTGTCTGAGTTTGTTGTCAGTAAGACATCGATTGATTCTATCCATGCAGAATTGACAGGATCTGCTAGTGAAAAGTATAAAGTGAGTTTTTGCTGAGGGGGTGCTGGTCACAGCTGGTAGTCTCTGTGCTATTAGACTGTCTGCTTTGAACATCAATATATGTTCATTTCCCAGGAACTGTTCCCAAGTGCTGGCTTTATAATATGAAAAGCACCCAAAAGCTGGTCAAGTGTTTCACTATGCTTGACTCTGGTCTTCTGTTATGCCATCCCCATTGACAACTATCCAAAGGCATCTAAAGAGACTACCTGGAAATCAGAGTGGGTGAGGGTAGAACACTCTAGCTTAGAGAATGAGAATGCCTATTTTCTGTGTCCCAGGGGAACAAAAGTATCCACACAGTACCCAGCATGGCTGTAACATGGCTTTCTGTCTCTTGCATGTAGAGATTTTATGGAGAGACTGGGAGGATCTTTCTATCCAGCCCTGTGTGCTAGAGCAGGTCTCGAAAAACACTCCTCTCTTTGAATTTCGCATCATGTCTTACAACATCCTTGCCCAGGACCTGGTGGAGCAGGGCCTTGATCTCTATCTACACTGTCATCCAGACATCCTGAACTGGAACTACCGCCTTCCAAACCTTTTGCAGGAGATCCAGCACTGGGATCCTGATGTGAGTATGACTGAGCCCTTCCCACATCAGTGTCACCAGAATTTGAATTCCTTGTTTGGTCTAACAGCATTAAAAAAGAAAGAGTGGGAGGAAGTCCTAGAAAGATACTGCCTGCTTGGTAACTGAACACTGATTCCTCTGAGAGTGTTTGAGGCCTTGTGTGTATGTTTTTTGGGGTGTGTGTCTTGCTTTGATTATGTTACTGTAGAAACTAGTCATACTTTGATAGCGGGGCCTAACTTCTTTAAACAGCAAAAACAGAGGAAGAAGACATAGTATGTGTTTGGGGAGGAAAGGACCAGGTTTATAAGGCAGTACAGTAGGGGAAGCCTGAGTGGAAGAGGACTTCATGTATTTCTCTATTCCTTGAGCCCTCTTTGTGTGATAAAGGACCTTCTCCCTCATCACTGGAATGATAAACTAATGTGACCCAGAAAGTTATCTCTCCCTACCTAGTAAGTACAGGACAGAGTTGCAGTGATGACCTTTCTGGTTGCAGGTTTGATATGTGAGTGTGCTTTTCTGCTTTCTCCTTCCCTAAAACAAGGTAACTCATAAATACTGGTGGAGTGAGTGAGATCTCTGCCTTTCTTCCAGGTTCTGTGTCTTCAGGAGGTACAAGAGAACCATTACTGGGAACAGCTGGAACCGACGTTCAAGGAGATGGGTATGCCCTGCTTTTGTGTGTCTGTACCTCCAGCTTGTGGGACTGGCCAAGCAGTGCTTCCTGAACATCTTCAAAGCACTTGGCCTTGAGAGAGCTCTTCCTGTTTGTCAGGTGGCTGCTGCCCCTACTTCTGAACCGTCTGCCTAGACCTTTACCCTTTCTTTTGTAATTGATCTTTCTCAGAGTTGACAGATCAGAGTAACAAAACTGAGAGGGTCCTAGAAGGACAAGGAGAGAGAAAATACCCTCAGTGATAAATGGTAAACTGTGATTATTGGAAGAGAATTGGGTATAATGCTGTACCCAGATGTAGTAAGAACAACTTCTGCTACACAGACTTGCTGAACTCCCCAGCTGATGGGAGAAGCCTGAGGTAGTGCCAGATAAACCTTTTAATGGATGATGGTTTCTTTTCAGGCTTTGCATGCTTCTATAAACGGAGAACTGGAACTAAGACAGATGGCTGTGCAGTGTGTTACAAGCACAGCAGGTTCCAGCTGATCAGCTTCAGCCCCATAGAATATTTCCGGCCTGGCCTGGATGTCCTCAATCGGGATAACGTGGGTTTGGTGCTGCTGCTACAGCCTCTGCTCCCGGAGGGCCTAGATCTGAAGGCAGTCAGTCCTTTGTGTGTGGCCAATACTCATGTGTTGTTCAATCCCCGGCGAGGAGATATCAAACTGGCCCAGATGGCCTTGCTCCTAGCAGAGATTGACAAGATTGCCAAAACCACTGAAGGCAGCTACTATCCTGTCATCTTGTGTGGAGACCTGAACTCTGTACCTGATTCTCCACTCTACAAATTCATCCGGAATGGTGAACTTTCTTACCATGGGATGCCAGCCTGGAAGGTAGGTGCCAGCCAGAACTGGGGTTGGCAGCTCTGGACTGCATGCTGCAGGAGAAATGCCTGGCTGCATTCTTTCTTTCATGAGGAAACAGTCCGAATATTGAATTCAGTTGTTCGGCAGTCTTCCCCAGTGCCGAACAGCACTGCTGGGGAAAGAGGCAGACAAATGTGTGTGTGTTGTTTCCACTGCTGCTCTTTTGTTTTCTCTTGAAGCAGACCAGTAATAATAGACCACTGAATTTCAGGTCCTGATTCTCCCTTGCTATGGGATTTTTGTGTCTGGGTGACTGGAACTATATGGGAGTATAACTCCACTAAGACTTACTGAAATTTTACATGGATGTTTGTTTCAAACTGTTTTCAGGTCATACACCTATAGTAGAGTCTCTTGTGGTTACCTGTTACTGTGTATCCGTGATCAAATACATTGTTGGCTTTCAAGCTAAATCATCAGTTCAATAATAGGTACCTGCAAAGTATCTTATCAGGTGACTTTTAGCTAATTGTATCCGTCCCACACAGCTGAAGGTTTCTTATATCTGCACCATATTGTGAATTGCTTGGTTGATGCCTTTCTTCGAGGGTTTTCTGTTTTGCTCTTGGCAAGTGTATATACATACATACATTTTCTATAGTTTGCAAAAGTTCTGTTCTGTGTTGTTGGTCTTTCCTCTCTGTTTCTGACCTCCTTGCAGGTGTCTGGTCAGGAAGACTTCTCCCAACAGTTGTATCAACGGAAACTGCTGGCCCCGCTGTGGCCAAGCTCGCTGGGAGTAACGGACAACTGCCAATATGTCGCTCTGTGCCAGCCAAAGAAATTGGGTGAGCTCCAGTGAGAACATGAGTTTGCTGAGGATGGACAGTTTGTTGGCCTTGCTTGTCTCTCTGAGTAGCTTGAGCATGTGTTGCATGAGGCACTCGGCAAATATTCTCTTCTTCTTTTCCTTGGTATATGAATTAAATTTAATTTTTCTGGAGTCTTGCTGTAGCCCAATTTCTGCCATTTTCTTTCTCTAGTCAGGAGCTAAATGTTCCCCTACCAGTAACCCCTGCTCTACATATCTCTTCCATATTCCCACTCTTACGCTTTTGTGCAGTTGTAAACCATGTTCAGCAGCCACAGCTTTCAGCTGCAGGTGTTTGTGGGAGCAGTTTTGGGCAGTATTTACACAACAGTGTTAGGAAGTAATTTGTAGAAGCCCGGTGACAATCATGACTGTTCTCTACTGTCCTTAGAGAGGATTAAAAAAAAAAAAAGAGCCCACACTAAAGGAGCTTTTGTTGGAATCTTTAATGTTGAGCTTGTATTCAACCTGATCTCCAGAAGTGTTTTTTCTTTTTTGGCAGACATTTCCTTGAGTTGCACACTACCTGATCTGCTTAAAAGTTGCTTGAACTTGTGGTGTCTCAGAGGCGATTTGTTTCATGAAGGTGCTGACCACAACCGTTGCATTAGCTAAAGGGATAGCAATAACTGTGCTCTGTTCTTCTACATTTACACATCTGTTCTGTTCTACATCTAGGTTATTAAGTGATTCCCATTCTCATAGTATCAGAGTCCTTGGGTATAGAAACCTCTCTCAAACTAAAGAGGTCTAAGAGGTGTAAAGGTCTAAAGATTATGCAGATGTTCCCTGTAGATGTGACTTTGCTGCAGTACTTTCTTCCTTTGACTTGTATTTTTCTCTGCAGGCAGACGTAAGTACAGCCGGGACTTCCTGCTCCAGTTTCATTTTTGCGATGTTGCCTGTGAACGACCACCACAGCTGGTCCTCTTGGAAGGTGTGACAGATGCTAAACCAGGTATTAATGGGATATTTTTCAGCTTGTGGTTCTCCTAGCTCAATTTTGATGAAAATGTGAGGTGGAGGTAATATCTGGTGAGAAAAGAGAAAGGCAGAAGGGTGCCTTCTGTGACTGTGTGGTTTCATGAGAGCTCACCACCCTCGTACATACTGACTGTGTTCCTTGAGATGCACTGAGATTCAGCCTCTTTTGGAGGCTGTTTTATATAAAAGTGGAAAAAAAAAATTCTTTTTTTCTGCTTCAAGATTTTTTTTGAGAGCACAAACCTGCAGACTGTAATGTCACAATGGCCACAATGTAAATGTCTCTGGATGCTGGTACCCAGTAGACGCTGCCTCACTTCTGGGCCTTGTGGCATGGCTGATTTTGCTCTCTCCGTTTCTCTTCTGCCTTTCTAGACACCCTTTGAGTAAGCTGTACGCTAAGGCAAATGAACTTTCTTTGAGAGCAAACATTGAAGTACCCAGAGCTTTGATAATATTAAATGCTTTAAGGACATGTCCTTAGCAGGACAGAATGACTTCTCAGTTGTTTGCAGTGATCTGCTCTCAGGATGTTCCTGTTAGTCTTAGGGCTGGGGTTTCCTTTGAATATTTTTCTTTAAGGTGCCTGTGACTGGAAGCTATCTGCTCTTCTTGGGCAAAAGGATTCATTTGGTCTCAGGAGAAGCTTCTCAGACTTGGGATGAGCAGTCTGTTGCAGGATCTGGGTGGGTCTGGCTGGAATCTCTTTGCTCCTTTGCAGACCGCCCTGCACACTGGCCCAAGCTTGCTGCTGTGGTGAGAGACCCTGATCCCCAGCCATTCGTCCCAAGGTAATTTGGTGCACCTTCAATGGCCCCACTTTTCAAGCCTGGTCTCGTTTTCCTGAGCACTGAAAATCTGGCTGAAGTAGAGACTGAAATAAATGTGAGGTTGGAAGATAGTAAGGAGGGGTATCTGGAAGAGGCAGATCCACCCAGGGCTGTCCCAGCAGCTGGGCACCAGCGTTGTGTTGGTGAGGTCAGGAATTAAGGGCATAGATTGGACTGTGTATTGGAGACAAAGGAAGTTCATGGTCTGCTTTGTCTTTGGTGTAAGTGGAGTGAATAATTCTGAAAGACTATCTTTTATGTGTTCACAAAGTAGAAATAGTTTGGACAGTTGCATCAGCAAGGGAACATCCAACTTCAGCTGTGACTGCAGTACTGAACACTGCATCATCCTCTTTCCTTCCCTGGTAAACTCTGGCTGTTTGTGTGCAGGTCTTCAGGCGTTATCCAGCATGGTCTCAACCTGACCTCTGTCTACAGCCACTTCCTGCCACAGAGGGGACGCCCGGAGGTCACAACGATGCCCATGGGGCTCGGAGCCACCGTTGATTATATTTTCTACTCAGCAAAGCCTGTGGATAAGGGGAACAGAGGGGGTGAGTGCAGCAGTGCAGGGCTTATCCCTGTGATGTTGGGAGAGGGCTGTGAGGCGTGCCAGAATGCAGCTCAGCATTGGGCAGTGCATTTCGTTAAGCTGGGGTGGATATACGGGGTGTGACTTTGACTGAAATGATGCACAAAGTTGAAGCAGCATTTGCTCAGATATCATGAGAAGACAGTGTTTATCTTTGCTGGAAAAACTGAAGCTGCTTAGCTTAGGTTCACGTAGACTTTTGAGGAAGCTAGAACAGAATGGATTCTGTTCTTTTGTACAAGTACCCTACTTGTGCTTCTGGTAACAGGCAGTGCTGGGTCCTTAGTTCAAGGCTTGGACTTCTAGTCTGACTGAGTCCATGCACTGGCATTAGAAGGTGGTGACTCTGGTTACCTTACAATAGCACCACCTCTCTGCTACCTGAAACAGGAGTAATGTTGATGAAAGACTGCATGTAAATGCACCCAGGAACTGTCTCTGGGTTGGCTTGGATTGTGTCAGAATCAACTTTGGGCAGGAGGTTAGAAATGAAGAGATGAATTCCTCCTCAGGGGAGAATCTGAAGCTATTTCTAGGACTTAGTACCATGAAATGAACTTCCCATGTAAGCAACTGCCTGGTGAATTTAGTATATACTTGATTCCTGAGCCTGCAAGTATATGAACAGCAGTATTAAAGGATGCTCACTGCTTTCACATCTAGACTCAAAGGTGCATGAAGTGTTTGTGCAGCCTGTCTTCATTGATTGGGGAAAGAATAAGAAAGCATTGACAAGTGTCCCTCTGTGAGTGTCTGGAGTTAATCTACAGTATAGTCTCTGGCTGATGTTTATTTCCATTTTCTTTGTCAGGACGCAGGCTGTACCAGGATGGAGCCCTGAAACTGCTTGGCCGCCTTTCCCTTCTCTCTGAAGATGTCCTGTTGCTGGCAAATGGCTTACCAAATCCTTTTTGTTCATCTGATCATCTCTGCCTGCTGGCTAGCTTTGGCTTGGAGATCTCCGGCCTCAGAGAGGGTTAGTGTTGGTTCCCTTTCCCTAAAGAAAAGCTATTCCAAATACAGTAGTTGAGGCTCTGGATTGTACAACCTGCTTGCAAGAAAACTCTTTTCCTTGTCATGCCCTAGAAGTCCCCCTCACACCCTTACAAAAAGCAAGGATGGGAGAGTTGGAGTGCTTTTTGCATTGGTATTTTGTGGGTCTCTGCCAAACCTGAGCTGTGTTCCCAGTAGGCTTCCAGTTGCATTTGGGCATTACCATCTCTTAAAGGGATCCTTGTTCCACTGCTTTGTTTAGCGGATGTTTTAGTGCTGTGGGAACATATTTATTTGTCACTGTGCGAGATCTTCAAGGAGCTGAGAAAGAGGGGCAACGCTGCCTCCTTCTGGTTAGTTAGTTGCTTGCTACCAAGCAGCAGGGGATAGATACACCAATATGCTTTCACACCAAAACAATGGTTCTTTTAATTTATCAGTGATAGTTTATGAAGTATGGTCCTTCCAGGACTAGTTGTCGTGTTGCCTTTGAGAGTGGTGACTCTGAACTGCTTGGAAATGGCTTTTACTTAATAATGTGTAAGGGCTGCCTTGCTGGCAGAGGGGTTTGTGTAGTTGAACAGCTTCTACAAGAAGGTGCCTGCTGTGACTAATGGACCAGGGAATGGGATTGCCAGGAGTGGAGCCAGGGGTTCTACAGAGCCAGCTTCAGGAGCTCTAGAACTGCAGCAAAAGCCTAGAGGCCTTGGGGAAGGCTCCCTTCCTTTCTAGCAGTCTCAGAGTGGTACCTAGCTTGGAACTTGTAGGAAAAGTATTTATGATCCTCTCAGTGAATATCAGGTGGAAAAAATCATCCTGTAAAGCATGACAACCCCAGGAGGCTATAGCTCTGGGAAGTCCCAAAAGAGGGATAAAAACAGAAGGCATGTGAGAGGCAGCAGAGCCATCAGATGGAAGAGCTGATACTTGTCACTTGCCTTACTCTTTCTTGTGCCCTCCTGATTCCGTTCAGTCTGCCAAGGGTCAGATAGCCAACCTGTAGCATCTTCCTGTGCCAGCCTGAAGTTCATGCTACTGCTTTCTGGAGCCAGCCACGTTTAAGTAGGTAGAACTTGTAGGACTGACTCCTATCTCTTGACAGGCGTTGGGAGGGAGGGGAAGGCTGTGTAACTTGGAGCCAGATTGTCAATTGCTTGGATCCCAGTGTACCTTTGGTGTCCTATCAGTGTACTTTTGTCAGCAGTGGCTTGGCCAGTACAAAAATAATAGAACTGTACCTGTTCCTAGGGCAGATTCCCCAGTTCAGACTGACATTTAGCACTCAATTTTTCCATGAGAGATGAGAGCAATGTTGCCAGAAACATTATCAATCTTCTGCTCACAAATGAGACAGGGAAATCTGGTCCCACCTTGGGTTTTTGTGGGAAGGTACGAGGAGACTTGAATACTGTTCTCTCTTCCTGGGTTATATTGGGGCACCTTCATATTTTAAATGTTACTTTCTTTATTTAAAAATAAAACTTTTCTAATCTAAGAAAAAAACACAAAGTAACTGCAGCACCTTGTGCTCCTGGCAGCTGAACCCTCTGAGGACTTGCTCAACATGGCTTTGCGGGATGGGATGTGAAAGAGGAGAGGAAAAATTAGCTACACAAGATAGCAGTAATGAGTGTTGAAGAGAGGAAAGTGGGCCTAGCTGTTGTCTCCCAGCACATCCCCAGGTCCCAGGTGGTTTATTTGGCATTGGGCTTGTCTTGCAAAATGGTTTGCATTTGGGAACCCTTCCCCCCCTCCCAAAGAAAGCAAGTACTGCTGATCTTTCACAGCTCACTTCTGTAAACTGTACAGAAACAAGAGGGGTGCATGGGGATTGTGTTCTGTGCCAATATGATTGTGTAAGGACTGCATATTCCCTTCTTGCTCCTGTTAGATGGTGTGGTATTTGCCTGGTGATGTGTGGATGGCTTTTGCTACCCAATTTGGGATGACATGTAAGAGTCTGTGTAAGCAAACAGCAATCTGGGGGTGAATGAGTTTGCAGCTTGCTTTGTCCTTACTTCGACAGGTAACAGTTCTGGTGTGGCACTGGTGTTTGTACATGGGGAGGGATGTAGAGCTGTGTATTTCTATGGCTCTGTCTGACAGTTGCAGTGATTTCTGCAAGTACTCTTATTCTGATTTTGTAATTGGTTGTATTTGTAAAGGGAGGGGAGGAAAGGGAAATTGGTGAACTGAGAGCTTTATTTTCTGCTGGGCTTCAAAAGAGGTTGGCAGAAAGCAGCCAGGTTGCAGATAACTCCCACCAGCTGGTAACATTGTAATAGGAAACTTGGAAGACAATAAAGGTTTAAAAACAACCAGCCAAAAGCAAAACAAAAAACATTGTGACTCATAGTGTTGGCACTTACAGCTTTGGCTTTCTGCTTCAGTTGTAATTGCTGGCAAGGTCTGATGGTCAATTGATGAGTGCGTGTTTGTGTGAAAGCAGCTCTCCTGCCCCACCTATTGAGCACCCATAAGGTGTGCACAGTACACAGATGAACTGGTTGCCCCTGCACTGGCTGAAGCACCCTGCCAATTCTGTGATGTAACTGAGGCGTAGGAGCTGTACTTCAACATCACAAGTGCTTCTTCCATTTTATTTAAACCAAAGACTTGACTTTTCTTTTGGGTAACTTGCATGAAGGCATCTGTCAGGGAGGTTTTAAAGTTCCAGCTATATTTTGTTGGAAAATCTGATGTTCCACAGGTCAAACTAATGTTTTCTCTTTCAATACATGAAATAGTATGGTATGAACTTGGAATGGTTAAGTTTTTGAACACTGGATATGGAATTGTGTGCTGAGAAACCCCAGGACAATGCCTGCAAATTCTCTGATTCTTCTTTCTGAAGCTTAGAAAGCTCCCAGAATGACCTGCAGCTCCCCAAGCCCTCACTCACACATGCTTCCTTGGGCATTCTTAGGTGAAACTATTGAAGGTAATGCAGGACCATTGCTAGTGACTGCATACAGACACACAAAGGCAGAGCTGAAGAGTTGATCCATATTATTTTGACCACTGTCCCTGAAGCTCTGGTATAGACCCCTACAGAGTTGACCTGTTTCAGGAAAGAAAAAAACCTGTGTTTTAGAGCAATTTGGAGTTAACATTGAAGGGATCTGGAGACCTGCAAATGCCTCCAGCTGTGGGGGACTATAGCAGAAGTTTGGAGGTGGGGTGGGTGGAAAGAGTCCCTACTACTAAAATAGCAACTAGTATATAGTTGTAGGGAGAAAATAATGCGTCCTGTGATGCTTTAAGAATAGCACACAGTGATATAATAAGAGACTGTGGTAATGAGCAATTTGTGGTGGGAAGCAGAACTAAGATTGCAGATGCAGCTCTTAACACTATTTCCTGACCTAAATGCGTGACTAGTTGTCATTAGCACAGCTTTCTGATGAATTATAGAGGGGTCTGTAAATGGTTATGAAAGTGGAACAACAGGAATACCTGTTGTACTCAGAAAGGGAAGGTATCATAGAGGTAGGATCATCTACATCATTTGACGTAGAGCTCAGGGAGACTGGTACTTAAGGGAAGGGATGCCTGAGACCACTGGCAGTGTGTATACGTACCCTGTTATTCAAGAGCATGCAGCTGTGGAGGGAAACACATATTTGACAAACTGTCTTTGCTAGATTAGCTTAGATTGCACCACAGCTGCTAGGCTGTATTTAGTTACACTATTTAGATAGAAGTTGGACTTCCTTCACTTTCTCAGAGTTTTAAGTTCATCACTTCAGGAGGATGCCCTTTATAATCAGTTTTCCCAATTACATGGGATGGGAGGAGTGGTAAACAATATAATTGCTCTAGTTTCTTTCCTTTTCTCAATAAATGAAATTTGGCTGCTGCTTGAGGTCATCTTTCTCCATGCCTTTTCCTTATGAGGTATCTCTCTAGCAGCTGTTTTCCCACGAGTGCCTTATCCAGTTATCTAAGTTACCGATGTTTATTTTTTTCTGCAGCTGTATTTCTTCAGTTAAAAACTATGGGTGGAATTCTTTAGGGCTAAGTCTTATTATAAACTCAACATATAAATAGTGTCAAGCCATAAGATAGTGGGTTCCCTCACCCCTGAAGAGTTACGTGGGAGGGGTAGAAGCTCTGAAACCAACACTTAGATGGGAAAAATTCTTGTTATATAAAACAAAAAAAAAGTTTAAGGTTTATCACTAGTGCCCCGTGTGCCACCTGCTTTGTGAAGCATAGCAGAACTCTGAAATATACTTGACCTTAGTTCCTCTTTTCTGAGGAGCCTCTTAGAGGCTCTAAGCACAGTTCAGCATCTCAGAGAGAATCTAAGAGCAGATCAAGGTATGTGTCCTGCTCCTAATGATATTTGAGAGTGGTGTTGGCAAACAGCCTGCAAAGCAGAGTGTTGGTACAGCGCAGTATCTCCTTCCATCCTCACCACCACCTCACTAATGAACGTTTATTGGATATACTGTTAGGAATTTGCAGACATATCCCTGGTTCATCCAAATGCAGATGAAGCCTTTTGTGGCTCATCTAAAGGGGGAGCACAGAGGCCTTAGCGGGATAGCATCTCCTTTCAGTAGGGTTCCTGTTGTGCAATTTAATTAACTGCTGGCTATGACCTGCTCCTTACCAGGCTGTAGCTGCCTGGCCTGTGGTGCTTTCCATAGCACCCTCACACTGAAATGCACAAGCTGCATCGTGTTTCAAGCTCTGAAACTGAGTTTCTGTAGGGAACTTACCAGCTATAATGATAACCAAGATGACTGATTTAACAGCTGGCAAGTTCCCTCCTTTTGTCAGCGGTACAAGTTCGGCTTCTCCTGTCAAGGCAAGTTATCCTCCAACTTCCACTGAAAATGTCATTCTAGTCTTGAAGCTCTTTTTCCTTTTATTTATTTTAAAATTTATTTATTTTATTTCAGATCTAGACTGCACATTCTTGTGGTATAAGGGAATAGGAATGCTGTATAGTAGAGCTGGAAATTTTTTCCTAACTTTGGTTAGACAAATGCAGCAGCTTTCAAGGTGCTGAGGTGGCAAACGGGAGAGGGACTGGACTAGATGCTGGCATGTGCTACAATGAAAGATGCATTTGTTCCATCCAATCTTTCCTTTTATACACAAAAAATACTTTAAGCCTTAGCAG